AAAAAAAAAAAAAAAAAAAAAAAAAAAAAAAAAAAAAAAAAAAAAAAAAAAAAAAAAAAAAAAAAAAAAAAAAAAAAAAAAAAAAAAAAAAAAAAAAACAAAGAGGCCATCCGCTACATTTTATTATGCGATCACATTACCTTTAAATTGTTAGTAACAGATTGCATCTCCCCATACACTTGAGCTCTGAACTCTTAAAACTCAGAACAGACTTTATTTTTACAGAATTGTTTTTATGGTTTAACCAGAACACACCCCAAAAGAGTTCTTCAACATTCCCAGCTCTCTAACAAGCCCCAGCCCCCAAACGTTTTCACACCTCGCCTGCTGGCAGAAACCACTTTAAAGCTCAGTTCCACAAGTCAGAGCCATGGCCAGGGCGAGGTGCTCAGGAAGACAGCTAGAGCTGAAAGGCCATCCCTAGGGGCAAGCGGAGCCGGGGGCGTCCTCGCCGACCCTCACCTGCAAAGCAGCACCACAACCGAGTCGGCCTTGGCAGGAATGAAGCCGAGGAGGAAGACGTTGCGACAGCCACAGTTGTAGCACTCCAGGACCGTCTCCCCCAGGGGCCCGTCCTTGTGCAGAGTCACCTCTTTGCATTTCGCCCTCACGAGGTGATTTACAATGTGGCTGGAACCAGGAAATGATAAATAGTTAACACCAGAGTGGGCCTTTTCACCACTCCCGACTCTCGGGCCCCCGTCAGAAGTTCCGGTACCGCTCACGGTCCATTAGCAGAGGCAGTCACACTTCATACATCTGGCATCTCAGGGGATCTGCCCTCCCCGAACTGGCTCCCCACTGAGCGCAGAAATCAATCCCAACTCTAACCACTTTTAAGGGAGACTTCCTTAACACACTTCATATAGTTACTGATTTTTAAAACCCAATCCTCAGGCCCTGGGGCCGAGGCTGCCACAGGGGACAGTCGATGTTTCCCTGTTTCCTGCCAGGAGGCTGTGAAAGGCCTTCGCCCCTTCTTTTCTCCCCAAAGCAGTCTCACTGCTGTCTTCCGCTGCTTCTTCCCAAGTCACTGCTCACAGCCTTGTGCCTACTTCCAGGAGCAATGGCCCCTCCTAATTTGCTGCAGGCCAAGAAACCTGATCTCTAAAAGAATTGGAAACCCGAGTACAGTAGAAAATACTGAATGGGGCTTGGGGCTGCATGGCGGAAGCAAGGGGCCGGGTCTGAAATGGGCTGTCTCGGTGCCTTCCTTGCTGCCGCATGGCCAGGACCCCGCTGGCCTGAGCCATGGCCTGTGCAGAACCTGCCCTGTGTCAATCCAGCCACCCACAGGGCCCACTAGACACCCACAGGGCTCCCTAGGCCCACGTACAATTCTGCCTTCAGCCTCCCCACTCCAGCTCCTCTGAATCTTATTACTGGATGCAGCGGGCTGGTCAGACTCTGAACATGCCCCACCAGGCCTCAACCCTTCCTGGCTGTGCCTTCTCTTCACCTGTCACAAGCTTCAGTTCAGATGCCAAACTTCTAACCCACTCTGGGCATCCCCAGAGCCCCCACCTCCTCTCTGGAGCAGGCACCAGTGGGCAGTAGACCAGAGTCAGTGATTTCCTGTGTGTCTTCTGCGCCAGCCTCACTCTGTCCCACACGCGGCCCTGAAGGCAGGTGGCTGCTGTGTGGACCTCTCTACTGGGCCTTGCATAGAAAGTGCAGCAGCGGCTGCTTAAGGCTGTCTGCTCTCAGAGGCCCTTCTACTCACACTTCCCTGTTCTTGGCGGTGCTGACCGGAAGCTGAGATTGCCAGCAAAGAGAAGCTTTATTTAATTGCTTTTCCTGCATGAGAGGAACTAATACAAACATAGCAACACTTAAATCACCCAGAATATTCTGAAAATGGAACACAAATGTCTTTTGATTACCCTAAAGATGCTTTCCTTTTAAAATCTTGTAAAAGCCTCAGCCCCTTTCTTGCCTTGCTCAGAGCACCACACTTCAAGTTACTAACTCGGAAACACCTCGAGACCTCACCACCCCGTCCATTCCCTTGCACTCCTGAAAGCACAGGAAGGTCAGGGGCTCTGTGCAAATAAGACTGCCAATGGTCTTTTGTCACTTTCTCCAAAATGTGAACCTCAGAAATAGAGTCTGCTTCCTCATTGGCAAGTTGGAGTTCTGCCTCGGAAGCCTCTGCTGTTTCTCTTCAGCAGTGGAGTGAGCCACAGGCACATCCATGGCAGCCTAGAGGGGAGCTGTCAGTCTAGGGCTGCCCGCACGGGAGTCCCAGCACTCCGGCAAGACCATCGGCCTCTCTCCTGGAACTCAGGCACGAGTAGAATGCTGGTCTTGTCCCAAACACAAAACAAGGGACCCAGTTATAGCTGCTGCTGCTCAACAGCAGGAAGGGAAGCGCAGCATTGATAGTCAAGTGCACTTAATTTAATCTAAAGATTCAGTAACTGGCCCAAATTAGCCCCAGGACTGCTCAGATGAGCTCAAGCCAGAGCGAGCCCTCTCAGGAACTGGCTCCCCCGGGTGCCAGCTACTGCCTTGGGAACATCCTCTTGGTAATGAAGATCAGCAGGCATGCCAGGAGCTCCTCTTGCAGAAAAATAGAAATAAAAACTGGGAACGAGAATTAAGTCAACCCTCCTTGCATAATAAAAAGAGCCACAGAGGATAAATCAAGGGTAAATACATGAAGGCATTCACACACCACCATCTGTTTCAAGTTAAACCAGTCACAGTGGAGGAAGAAAACCAGGTTTGTTAGCGTGATTTTATATCGCGCTCCGCTTCAACATTTCCATAATTTACACACAAATCTGAGCGCACCACTGATTAAAGACACATGCATGGTTTGATTATCTACCTGCCAGAAGTATTTCCTCGTCCGTTACAGAACCACTTCTTGCTGGTGTTACAGTAAACTACACAAGCAGGATCGTGTATTCCACAGTAACTAAAAAAGTCAAAACATCAACAGTTAAAGCTGAAAGGTTGCTCTCTGGTTTTAATTTGGCAGGATGTAAGATTCTTTCCTCTTACAACATTTTTAAGTTTTTCATTAAACACATACTCAAACCCAACAATCTCAATAACAAAGCCAAACCAGTGGACCAAGGCTTCCTAAACCCGAGAATGCACGGAAAGAGGTTTGCTGTGGGCAAAGCCACTTCCGGCAGAGCCCTGCAGGATGCCAGGGAGGCCTCACACCTGGGAGGTTACTCTAGTCTCTCCCCATTAGCCTGAGGCTTCAGGAACCCCGACTTGCGACCAGGTGGTCATGTTGAGCTCCAGGCTCCAGCAGGGGGCACTGTGCACCCAGGGAATGCTGATCCTGCAGCGGAGGGGGCCTAGGGCTCAGCGGCTGAAACTTGTGCTGGGGGCTTCACCGCAAGAAGGCCGCACCCCTACCCCTGGCTTTGGTTTTCTGGAAAACACACCAAAAACAAAAACACTGGCTCTCCACAGACTTCTGCTTGTGTACAAAGTCAAGATTCAGTCTCAAGTCAGAATTTTTTTCAGCTGAGAACTCTCCGCCCGCCCCCGACACCAAGGGACAGCAGGGAGGGCAAGGGGCTGTGCAGTTTACCCCTGCAGCTTCCTCAGGACCACGTAAATGGCATCTCTGCAAATAACAGAAGCGCTTCACTATCAGATGGGAAAACCTCTATAAATCAGAATGGACAGAGAACCAAAGTGAAATAAAAAGTGCCCATCCAAAGCGGGGGGCCACGGTGGGCACAGACCAGGGAGGAACAAGTGTCAAAGACAGGCAGGAGGGCTAAGTCAAGGCCCAGGCCCAAAGACGCCCTGCCTGCCAGGTGCCCTGAGCAAGATCATTTCACCTCTTTTGGTCTCAATTTCTCACATGTGTTTAACAAAAAAGCAAAAATAAGCCTAAACTTAAGGAATGGTCCTGCTCAAGATGAGAATTCCAAACTTGGTCAACATACCAGTCTAGGCACTGACCAATCACTTCCAGTTTTCCAGAAATGGTGACTGTACCAGGGAGGCAGAAATGTTAAAGAATCCTACGCAATCCCACAGTAAGAGAACCTTAGCTGCTCATGTCACCCTCCAACCTCAAATGCTCACCCCATGTGATGGGTTCTCTCTAATGAGTGAGCAGGCAGGCATCAGGGGATGACCCCAGGACTGAGAAGACACACAGGCCGGGGCCTGGGGCCAGAGGAAGGGAAATCCCTCCTCACCGGCTGGGTGAATTTGGCGTGTGAGAGGGTGACAGGGACTTGATGTGTGTACACGGGCCTGAGAAACTTCCTCATGCCCAAGGACAATGCTGCCCAGCGTCGCAGTGGGCAGTCACAGTGCGAGGCACTGCCCTCTGCCCAGGACGTGAGTGTCCCAGCCCCCCTGCCAGAGGCACCCACTGCCCAGGCTCACCTGCAGGCATGTATGGGGAGGTCCTTCGTGTAATAGGTGTCTTCTTCATCCTCCTCGAAGTTCAACTCGGCCAACAACTGGCTGGTCTTGGCCACACTGTCATCCACAGCCCCATTCTGCAGGATGCCCTCGGGTCCAACCTACAGCGGAATGGCAGCGTCACCCAAGCAAAGCTGCAGCTCCCAGGACTCAGCCCAGCCCATGGCTCCTCCCCAAACAAGTAGCCACAGTGCACTGGCCCGCTCTCTGCTTTCAGACAGTTCAGCTTGCTCAGGGCATTGATGCCCTGGGGTATCCACCCCACCCACTACAGTTCCAGTCTCACTTCCACTTGGCTACTGAGCCACATCCATGGGCCAAAACAATGATGCTGAGGAAAACGCTCTGCTCCCACGACTGAGGACCGACCACAAGGAGCAAGACAACTTTTACAAACTGATGATGGTGCGCCCTGGAGACAGCTGCCCAATAACAGACAAGGGGGACTGGAGTCTCACTGCAGTGAGAGGTTCTTTAAGTACTAGAAGTAAAGGTTGTCATCCCTGGAAATGTGAAGAAGCCACCAACCTTGTGTACTCGCACCTCCCCTTCTCCACAAAGGATGAGATTATAAAGTAGAAATCGAACGTTAAGATAACCTTCCTAATTTAGGCCATAATCTCGCTGAAGGTATCACCTTTTATACGTCATGGCGGCAAAGGCATACATTAAGGAACCAACCGATGGGATACTTGCACTGAGATCACACATCCAGTCAGGAATGCAGAGTCAGGGTCGAGCCCATGGCGCACTCAGGAGAGTGCGGCGCTGGGAGTGCAGCAGCGCTCCTGCCGCGGGTTCGGATCCTATATAGGCATGGCCAGTGCGCTCACTGGCTGAGTGCGGTGCAGCCGGTCTCAAAAAGGACAAAAAAAAAAAAAAAAAAAAAGGAATGCAGAGTCAGCTGGCCCAAGGGGAACAGGAGACCCTAATGCCATCCCCCAGGAACCACAGCTTGAGATGACATGGTCAACAGTCCCTATCATAGTTCCCACAGGCCACTTAACCCCACCATGAGGCTGGGTCAGGCAGCAGAGCATTGTATGGTGACGGAACACAGCCAAAAAAGGAAAAAAAAAAAAAAAAAAAAAAAGGAATGCAGAGTCAGCTGGCCCAAGGGGAACAGGAGACCCTAATGCCATCCCCCAGGAACCACAGCTTGAGATGACATGGTCAACAGTCCCTATCATAGTTCCCACAGGCCACTTAACCCCACCATGAGGCTGGGTCAGGCAGCAGAGCATTGTATGGTGACGGAACACAGCCAAAATGAAGGAGAAGGGATGAGTGACAGGAGCCCCCAGGGTCTATCTGTACCGGCCTGTCCCTCAGAGGCCCTGCATCCCAGCGCTAGAGGACCAAAGCCTGTCAAGTGAATAAAGGGCTTCGTCCACTGCCTCCCCACACCCTCACCCTCAGGCACAGTACCCAAAGTACACAAGCCCCTCGTCCCAGTACTCCCGCCTCAGGTATGTGGGATACCTGTCAGAACCCAGCCCTGATTCTGGTGGCAGAGGCCATGCGGGCCACATAGGCACTTGGCCTGCCCACTGTCGCTGACCAGACCCCTGCACCAACTGAGGGTCAGGGGTTCTCCTGGGAGGGGGAGTCCACTAGGGGACATCACAGACATTACAAAGGTGTGTCTGGGTGGTTAGGAACACCTGTATGCAGTTCTCCCAGCCCAGACTGCAACCCTATCTCAGTGTCTGGAACTGCCTTAAAATACTTCTTTCAGGAAGGCAACCACCAGGTTAATGGCAAGAAGACTGCACACTTTACTTTGTTTGAAAAAAGAAATATTTTTTTCAGAGAGGAAAAATCAGAATCAACTTTTGGACTTTAATGCAAAGAGAGTACTCTAACATCAATTACCCCACGTATCTCTGTGAATCCCTGATCTTTTTAAAAAATTGTGGTAAAATACACATAACAAAATTTACCACCTTAATCATTTTTAAGTGTACACTTTAGTGGCATTCTATCCACCTCTAGAACTTTTTGCAAAACCGAAACTCCATACCCATTAAAAACCAACCCCCATTCCCCTGTCCCAGCTCCCACCATTCTTTCTGTCTCTATGAACTTGACTATGCCAGGGACCTACTATGAGTGGCATCATAAAGTATTTGTCCTTGGGCCGGCCCGGTGGCACACTGGATAGTGCGCCGCTTGGGAAGCGCGGCGGCACTCCCGTCCGAGGGTTCGGATCCCACATACAGACCGGCTCCCGCTCACTGGCTGAGCGAGGCGCCGGAGCAGCACCGAGGCTTGCGATCCCGTTGCCGGTCCCCGGTCCGGTGGGGGGGCAACACTGAGGGTTGCGATCCGTTGCCGGACACGGAAAAAAGACAAAAAAATAAATAAATAAATAAAAATAAAGTATTTGTCCTTTCGTGACTGGGTTACTTCACCCAGCACCATGTCCTCAAGGTTCATCCACGCTGTAGCACGTGTCAGAATTTCCTCCCTTTGAGGCTGAGTATTACCGTATGGACGCACCACATTTTGTCAGTCCTTTCATCCACTGGTGAACACTTGTGGCTGTTGTGAACAGAACTGCTGGGAACATGGGTGCACAAAAATGTGTGTGGATGCAGGTTTTCGATTCTTTCAGATACATACCAAGGAAGGGAACTGCTGCCTCAGAGGGTAACTCTACCTTGAACCTTCCAAGGAACCTGCAAACTCTTCTCCACAGCAGGTGCATCGTGTTTCATTCCCATCAGCAGTGCACAGGACTCCATTTCTGCATGTCCTCGCCAAAACTTATTTCTGGTTTTTGACTCTAGCTGTCCTCGTGGGTGTGAGGCAACATCTCACAGTGGTTTTGATCCACGTTTCCCTGACAATCAGTGATGGAGCACTGAAAAATGTCACATGGTTGGCCATTTGTGTATCTTCTTTGGAGAAATATTTATTCAACTTTTTTGCCCATTTTTGAATCAGGTTGTTTGCTTTTTGTTGTTGTGTTTTTGAAATTTTAGAAGCTGGTCATCACTTCAAATATCTTCTCTCCACATAATGATGTTCCTCCCAACACTGAGCAGTGTCAGGTGGGGTGACAATGCGGCTAGGCTACAGATGGGATGAGCACTGCTGGTTTGGTGCCATCCGAGCCATCTCGGTGTGCCTATGTCTGGATACACGTGTGGTTTCTGAGAAGTAGGCAGGCAGGTGAGGTGCCTTGATTTCAGGGCAGTGAAAGAGGCAAAATAAAACATGCAGCAGGGAGAGGGCTGACATGGCTGAGAGTGGGGACCAGCAGGTTCAGAGTGCTGTTTAAATGTAAATGGTTGCATTTTAAATGGCTGGATTACACATCTCATAGTATCCTCAACTCTGCTCCTTGTCCCACAAACCCTAGAATATTTACTATCCAGTCCTGTAAGGAAATGTTTGCTGACTCTTAGTCCACAAGATTTCCTACAATTTCTTATCAGGTTGCATTGCACAGGATAGGTTCTTATATACAAAGAAATTTCCTTGATGGTATTTCAGTCTTTGTTTTTTTTAAAGATGACCAGTAAGGGGATCTTAACCCTTGACTTGGTGTTGTCAGCACCACACTCTCCCAAGTGAGCCAACCGGCCATCCCTATATAGGGATCCGAACCCGTGGCCTTGGTGTTATCAGCACCACATTCTCCCAATTGAGCCACAGGCCGGGCCTATATTTCAGTCTTTACCTTCCTGTATGGGCAGCAGCACAGAAACCTGCCTTCCACCTAGGCACCCTTGTCCTGCCCACTCCTGCTGCACCCCATGTCTCCCTTCCACTCCCCAGGAGTGCACACCAGGAGCATGAGTGTGACCAGTGGGTGGCAAGCCTTCGTCTCTGTCTGCGCTGCACTTACTCCTCAGGCTTAATAAGGGACAGGAAACCTACGTCCACTCTGGGAATTCTTTGGAGAAAACACAGTATGGATATAAGGTCAGGGGGACTCTCCCCGTCCCCACTAAAGCCAGAGAGAGGACTATAGATCCCCAGAGGCCCAGCAGTCCCTCCAGCCCCTGGACACAACACAAGCCAACTTTTTTCCTTTTATTTATTTTTCTTTGACTTCTGTGTTGAATCACAAGCTGACTTCTGTAGTTGGATTGTTAGTTTCTCCCTCCACTCTCTTAAAAGTTTTAATATAAACATGAATTTCAAAAATACATTTGACCTTAGAAACTTCAACGAAATGAGTTAAAACAAAGCACTAGGGACAGTGCCTGGAACACAAAGGGCCCACAGCCGGTGCCAGGTAACATGATGGGTGAAGGAGAGGAAGGTTGTTGTCCTTGGCTGGCACAGGACTGTGGCTCTTGTTAACTGAGTCCCTCAGAGACTTTTGACCCTCATCTCACTAAGGAGACTCAGGAGGGGTGAGCCTCCCTGTAGCCACCCCCAGCCACCGAGTCAGGAAGCCCAAGAAGGAGTTCCCATCACTCTGCTCTGACACTCGGTGTTTAAAGGCCTATCCTACCATTCCCTGTACCTGTCCTCCATAGTCCTTTCATCACACTCTGGATGTGAATCCAGCTATGACTAAAACCACACCCCTGAAGTCCACCTAAGAGCTGTGGAGCTGATCCAGGCTTGCAGGGGTTTTCTGCCCAGAGACGGTTACTTACAACCCACTACAGAACGAAGAGGGCTGCTTCATTCCCACAGAGGGAAGCACAGACAATCAAAAGTTACCCCAAATGTGCTAGTATGAACTCTCAGTCTCTGCGTTCATCAGAGCCCTGGGCCCTTTGCACATGCAGTTCCTGTGGCCTCTGCAAGGCTGGCTCAATGTCCTCCAGATCTTGGTTCATGCGACACCTCCCAGGTCGGCCTCCTCTGATCCCACCTCAGGGCCCAGTGGGGACCTTGTCTGTCCTGCTCCCTGAGGCAATTACCTACAGCAGAACCTTCACACAGGGCCTTGACAGCACTGGCTGAGTGAGCGTGTCTTCTTGTCCAGACCATAAAGGCAGAGATACAAAGTGACGCACACCTGACTCTCTTCTCCCAAGGTTTAAATAAAAGAGAAGGAGGAAGTTGCTGCCCCTCAGGGTGGCTGACTGCAGAGAGCGAGGCCTCGGAGCCCTGCCTTGGGAGGGGACTGCAGGGAGGACTGGCTGCCCCCAACAAGGGTGGGCCAAGCTAGAAGGACTCTGCCCTGACCCTTCCCCCAACTTTTTATTTTGAAAAAATGCAAAACCTATGGTGAACACACACCCATGTGCCCTTCACCTGGATACCCCTGCCATCACATGCCACCCCACTCGTGCTCTGCAAATGCCTACTTTGCTCTTCCTGACCCACTCAGAGCTGGAGGCCCAGGACAAGGTGTTCTCCACAGCCTCACAGCACAGCAGCTCGTTCCCGAACTCCACAAGGATATGTCTAATACACACGTGTACCTCTCCCCAATGTCCTGATAATGTCCCTTAGAGTTGTTTCTATTCAAGACCCAGTTAACAATTGCACATAACTTGTGATGTCTCTTTAGCCTCCTTTAATCTATCAGTTTGAACCACATGAAATCACTTGGATTTCACCATTTTTGACCTACAAAGAGGGCAACTTCACATGGTCCCACCCAAGAGAGCAGTCACCAGGCACATCACACGTGACTAAAAGCCAGCCTCTCTCCCCTCCCCCTTTACCACTGGCTCCTGCGTGGACCCTCAAATCCTTGTCCTAGTGTGCTGCAGGCCACCCCTGAGGTTCATTTTGATGCTCAGTGTCCCTGATGTGGCCAGCAGAGCCTAAGATGTCCCCAGCTCGCCTTGGGCTGCCCCTGCCTGCCCAGCCCTGGGATCAGCCACTCTCCAAGGAGGCAAAGACTGAGAGGACATCCCCCTCATACTTGCCCGTAGAAGATGGGGTATGTCAAGGGGCTGGGTCCAGAAGGTGGACACCTCACAGGACACCTCACCCAGACTAGACCCCAGCTCAGTGGCATAAGGAGAAGGGGCTGCTCTGGAGACTAGGACCCGGAGATATAATAATCATCTCAGTGCTGGATCTCGACAGGGTCCAGGGAAGAATCTGACTATGGAGAGGGAAGCCCCACACAGATCGGATGATACTCAAAAGCTGCTGTTGATGCTGCTCATCCGTCCATGGCAGTGCAGCTATGAAGGAAAGGTGCCCTTTCTGGTTTCTAGAAACTCATACCATGTAACACAGGTCAAAATGGTTGAGTATCACCAACTCTTATGACTCAACCTCAGAAGAGTGAGATGACACGGGGACTTGCTTTAGAGACACATCAGTGAAGAAAAGGAAAAAAGGGAGAGAAAAATCTTCAAAACTGCTAAACCAAGGAGACAGATGCGTGAAATTTGCTTTCTCTTATCTGTTAGAAAATTCATCATCAATGCTTTTACATGGAGGATGAGGTGGCTGGCCCAGAATTTTTGTTCACCCCATAGAGCCACACGCTCAAAAGGAGGCCAACGACCCCGCCCCAGGACCAGGAGCCACCTCTCCCAGGCAAGGAACTGATACTGCAGGAAAGCGCCACCTTCAGCTGAGGCAAGGAGTCTCTGGAGCCCAGCAAGCAACCTCAACCCACTGCATGTCTAGATGCTGTCCTGGCAACAGTCTGCAGGGATCCTGAGAGCCCGCTCGGTCACCCAGCTCTCAAGCTGCTATTTGGCCAACACATATAAGAAGGGACAAGGATCTGTTGCCAGCCACAGGATCCCAATGCCCAGCAGCCCTTCGTTTATTGGAGGAAGCAGAGTTCTGATCTCAAAGGGAAGCTCTCAGCAAGATGAGTTCAAGGTCATGAACTTTGTGTGACTGTGGAGCTGTGAACAGCACTGTAGACTGGGACCAGACTCACTGCCCCCGCTGCCCCCTTCAGGCTGGTCACCCGGCTCTGGGTCCCAGTCGAAAGCTGGGCATTGTGGCCCTTCTCTGCCAGGCTGGACTGTCTCCACCACCACAAGCAGCCCCACAACGATGACCAACTGCCCAGAATGTGCCCCCTCCAGCTGCACTGCAGGCCACTCTGGGAGGCCTCTCCATGTTGCAGGCCCTCTCAGGGCAGTGCTCCCTGGCAGACGGAAGCCCTGATGCAGCCTGGGGGAGGGGGTCATGGCCCCTGATGAAACCACAGACAAGAGCTTGCTCTCCTCTAGTCTATAGCTCCTTGTGGGGAGGACTTGGGGTCCTCGGTGTGCTGGGAAGGGACACCTGGGACCCTGGCAGTCTCCATATAGGCACACACACTCACATATACATACAAGTGTTTGCACACAGCCCTGACCACAGCACCCTCTGCCTCAACTCCTCTTCTGGCCCCTCCGTGTGTTCGTGGGGTCGTCCAACCTCAGACACACTCTGCCTGATCGCCCTGCCATGGCCCTTCCTCTCAGGCTCAGTCAAGGCCCTCCCCAAGCACAGCTAGGCTGGGAAGTAAGAAAAGTGCAGAGGGGCTGGAGTCCAGGGTCAGGCTAAAGAGGGCAGCCTAGCCACCGTGTGGAGGGGACGAAATAAACATGAACAGACCCAGAAGGGCTCCAAAGCTGAAAGCAGTGGGCAGGGCTTGTCCACAGTCTCTGACTTCCAGTGCAGGGCCCAGCCCTCAGGTGGGGACAGCTCCTTGAGGTGTGACCAGGAGCCAATGAGCATGAGGCCTGACGAGGCAGTCAGACCATGAAGCCACTTGCCTACACTGGAGCTATGGATACAAGGCTAGAGATCAGCAGGAACCAGAGCCAAGAGGAGGAAGGCCGAGTGAGAGGAGACCAAAGCCGGCAAGGTGTGACAGCAGCACAACACTGTAAATTTACTGAAAAAGTGCCAATGAAGGGCTGGCTAACTGGCTCACTCGGTCAGAGTGCAGTGCTGTAACACCAAGGTCAAGGATTCAGATCCCAATGCCAGCCAGCCACCAAAAACCAAAACAAAACACTAACTGTAACTTAAAAACACAAGGATTCCACAATAGGCAATCAGACCTCAATAAGACATGAGAAAGACATTTCACTCTTTTAGTGGTAGCAGCTGGGTTGAGAGGTAACTTTGTTTTTACTTAATGCTGGTGTAGTATTAGTATTTATTTATCATGCTGAATCTCAGTAAGGAAATTAATAAGGGATAGAAACAGAAGTCATTTCATACATTCACCACTAACCATAAAATGTTGGCTCTCCTCTTCTAGTTGCTGGGAGGGTCCTAGCAATTTGGAAGCAATCCCGGTAAGTCTGAGAAGGGGGAGGTGCTTACCAAACACCTGCCAGGGCTCCTCGGGCTGGCAGCATCTCACCTCCAACGTTCTCACGTGCGCTGAAACTGCAGCAGCACTACCCAAGTATTCGCAAAGCAAAAATGGGGCCGTCTCATGCAAATTTTAAACTCACCACTTTTAAGAACCGGAACTATGGAACTCACACCCCACCCCACCCCCACCCCCCACCCCCGGCTCAGCAGGCAGAAGATGGTGTGTTCATCTGGATGGTCAAGGACAGGTCAGGACAGCCATCCATGAACTCTGAAGGCAGTCAGGACAGTGGCTTTGAGAACTAGGCAGCAACTTTTTATCCCAAGTGTTTTGCCACTTGAAGAGGAGAGAAAGCCCACGTTCATGTACTCAAGAACTAGAGAGGTTGGGGCCGGCCCGGTGGCGCACTGCACTAGTGCGCCGCTTGGGAAGCGCGGCGGCGCTCCCGCCGAGGGTTCGGATCCCACATACAGACCGGTTCCCGCTCACTGGCTGAGCGAGGCGCGGGGGCAACACCGAGGGTTGCAATCCCGTTGCCGGTCCCGGTCCGGTACGGAGGCGACACTGAGGGTTGCGATCCGTTGCCGGACACGGAAAAAGACAAAAAAAAAAAAAAAAGAACTAGAGAGGAAACACACGAGGCCGGCAGGCGGGAAGAGAGTTTAGGCTGCAACAACAGGTCAGCAAGGAGCTCTCGCTAGGTGGTGTCCGGTACAAATGAGAAAGATGGCGTGTTTTTTGTAAGGAAGCAACTCTGGCACTTGGAGTGAAATCTGAGTGTGGGACGACTGTAGCAGCTGTCATGTTCACAGGCTACCATGAGTCAAGAGGGGCCTGATCTGATCATGAGGGAACTAGGTGGGACCAGGATCCCCCAGATTTCAAGCAGCATCTACAAGCTCACCTGGGGCACCTTCACTAAAACACCTGCTCCCCTGCCTAAAGGAACATACCTATCCACAAATCTTAACATTTCCAGGTGAGCAGAGACGAAGAAAAGCCAAACCAATAGGCATACTTTTTCCTACCAGATGTACATACTTTATCTGTCACTTGTTATTGGCCACCGGGCTGTTTCCAGTTTGGGGCTCTCACATTCGGCAGAGCCCTCCATGGTCGCCCACCTTCATTTCTTTGCTGGGTCACAGGGAGGTGTATGGAACTGTCCAACCAGCCGTGTATGGGAGTTCCCAATGGCACTTTCAGCCTTTTAAAAAAACGAGACACTGGAAAGGGTAGGTAGCGGTATCTCCATTTGGGCTTTCTCTTAACAGTTTCACTGAGCTAATACTGACATATGTCAATATATGTAAGCACCTGTAAAATTGTCACCACAATCGAGACAACAAGCACATCACCTCCAATTCTCCTCCTGCTTTCTGCCATCCCTCCCCCCTTTCTGCTTTCTGTAATAAACTAGAATTTTATGACAGAAATCAAAGTACACACTTTTTTGTCTGAATGCTTCTTCCACTCAGAATAATTATTTTGAGATGCATCCATGCTGTTGTGTGTATCAACAGTTCCTTCCTACTTATTACTGAGTATTTCCAACTCTTAGATTTTTACCATTATCCCACCATGTGGAGGAAACACAATCCTAGCAACAGTAAAGAGGCAATATTCCAACTAGGTAGACCAAAAGGTTTGTAACACCAGCTATTATGCAAAGGACTTCTGAAATTACTTTTCACCGCCCTTGGGGGTTGGAAGAAGGGCCCAGGAAAGGATCAGATACTCGAAAAGAAAAGAAAACTGTCGCTTTATCTTAGGAGACCTGGCAGGACTGTGTCAGTGCTTTTCATCCCAGGACCTCAAGGGCTTTGATAAATACCAGTTTCATTTCATAAACAAGAAACTCAGTGTTATGTGAACCAGCTCCGAGTTCAGCAGGAGTCATCCCTGCTGTCATTCTCCCACCCTGGCTGGGACACACGACCTGCCTTTAAACAGACTTTAGGGTAAAATTAACCGTGCAAAACTGGCAGTTACCACAAGTGGCAGCACACTGGACAAATCTGGCAGTTCCTCAAAGGCTTACACTCACAGTTAGCATACAATGCAGCAATTTCACTGAAAACACACAGCAACACAGAAGTCGGTACACAGATGTTCACAGAAGCACTATTCACAATTACCAGAAGGTGGAAACAACCCAAACACCCATCAATAGACAAATGGATAAACACAATGTGGTCCGTCCACACAACGGAATACCATTCAGTCATAAAAAGGAGTGAAGCTCCGACACATGCTACAACCTGGATGCACCTTGAAAACAGTACCCCAACTGCATGAAGCCAGACACAAAACGCCACACATTCTATGATACCATTCATGTGAAATGACCAGAACAGGCAAATCCACAGAGACAGAGCTGAAGATCAGTGGTTACCTGGGGTTGGGGGAGGGAGGACTGAGAGACTAAGAGGTGCAGGGTTTCTTTTTGGGGTGATAAAAATGTCCTAAAATTGACTGTGGTGATAGCTGCACAACTCTGAATGTGCTAAAAGCCACTGAAATATGTACTTTACATTGGTGATTGTGTGGCATGTGAATCCTATCCCAGTAAAGCTGTGATGACTGGCACAGCACTTGACAGGTGATGGCCGCTAATCCAGTAACATAAAAAAAAGGCAGAATGGGAGGCTTTCTGAGGCTTTCTAGAAGACCCCAACGGCTGGTTATGCTGCCAACTCCTGAGGACAAAAAAGGAATATCTTCTCAAATGTTTTAGGCAGCCAATGCCACCAACTGGCATGGGAAATAACTTTCTTCCACTTTTCGATTATATTCACAGACTCTCCTGCCCCAAATTCAGGTTGTCCTTTTGCGACAGAAACAAATGTCACTCCCCTTCTTCAAATCCAAATCCAGAGTTAGGTGGGTGTGCCATAGAGTTAATTAAAAGTAAGTTAGGACACACCCTTTGATGTCATCAGAATTAAATGAGCTCAACTGCAATGTTTACCTCCAGTGGAGCATTTTAATGCTCTTACTCGGTACATCAGTGTTCAGGTGCAGGAAAACAAATTGATTATTTCAGCTGAAAGAGGACACGCCCCACAACTAATCACAAACAGAACTCAAGAAACAAAACCAGAACTGAAAGCTGCCCCAGGTTTGCCATTTTATGTTGGCTACACTTAAAAGCACTCACAACAAAACTATTACCTTTCACAACCCCTCCCCGCTGCCCCGTGCTCCAGATCATGGCACACTGCTCAACAGAGATCTCTATCCTCAGCTTTCACGACACACTGAACACAAGTTAGAAACAGCATGGGCCGGCCCGTGGCTCACTCGGTAGAGTGCGGGGCTGATAACACCAAGGCCCCGGGTTCGGATCCCATATAGGGATGGCCGGTTCGCTCACTGGCTGAGCGTGGTGCTGACAACACCAAGTCAAGGGTTAAGATCCCCTTACCGGTCATCTTTAAAAAAAAAAGAAAGAAAGAAAGAAACAGCACTACCTGGTCGATTTACACATGAATCCAGCTTTCCCTCATGCTTAAAAGGAACAAAAACATAACTGCTGCCCCCATGTTACAGCTGCGGAAACACAGTCAACACAGTATGACAACTACCAGGAGGCGGGCCTCAGACAGCTCTAGCTCATTTCTGCAGGCACTCTCCCCTCTCCCTACCTCCCTTCACCAAATGTAAACAAAGCTGGAAAAAAGAAATCCATACTTGCACACCTGTTCTCCCTGATGCCCCGCCCATCAAGCTTTCTATTTTAAGGGATCTGGAGTTAGAATGACTCACGTTTTCCGCTTCTATTAGGGGCTAAAAGAAAGTCCAAGTGGGTGGTCTACCCACGGGAGTGACTCAACCAACTAGAACGTAAGCCCCCTCCCCAAAGACAGGGTCTAAGCTCACTCTGGCTGAGGATGGGGTGCTCGCCCAGCCCCGGAACACAAGGATGTGCCAAGGGACACCTGTGACAAGGTGAGCCTCGCAGCTCCTCCCTGGTGGAGAATTCAGGAAAATAAACCTGAGGGAAATACCAGGAACAAAGCAAGCCTCCGGTGAAAGCTATCTGAGATCCAGAGGATGAAGCCACTCCACTCCCCAGGACCCCCAGCCCACCCCACTCCCATCCGGGCAAGAACCCAGGCCCAGGAAGTGCATGCCTGATACTTCTCACAACTCAAACCTCCATTTAAAATACCTAAGTAACCTCCGCTAAGCATCCACGCCAGTAAAAATAGGTTTCCAACGTGGCAGACCCATGTATGTAGAATATACTACCGCTGCCCCGTCAGAGGAACAAAACTCAGACCCAACTTTTCCGAGGCAGGGCTATGGAGTTACATAACAGGTCGGTTTCAGCAACAGGCGATGCAAGAAGGAAAAACAAAACGCAATCTGCCTCTCGAATGATCTTAACAGCCAGCCAGTGTGTGGTTCATAGATAGGAAGCAAAAATTCGCCAGGGGAAATCTGAACCCACGGTTCGGTGGGCGTGAATGGGGGTGTGGGGGTTTCGCTGCCCAGACGGCTTCGAACACAGCCGGGGGGGTGGAACAGGGAGACCGGACCGGCCGGAGGGAAGACCTGGGCAGGCCACCCAGGACCGGGCCAGAGACCGACCTAGAACAGGTCACCCTGGGTACACCGGGAAAGAGACAGGGAGCAAGTCACATTAAGCTCCGGCTTGAGCAAGACCCGGACCTGGCCTTAGAATGACCACCGGAAAAGGCGGGAGGGGGAGCCGGGCAGGTTACTTGGGATCCGGCCAGAGCAGAGGAGCTGGGGCAGGTCACCTGGGACCCGGGCGAGTTATCCAGGGACAGGCCAGTATTGGGAGCCAGGGCAGGTCACCCGGGACCCGGCCACAGAGGAGGGACTCGGGCGAGTTATCCCGGGACAGGCCGGGGGGGGCATGGCAGGGCACCCCGGGACGGGCCGGAGGGGGACCAGGGCGGGTCCCGGCGGCCGAG